CGCGAAACCGACGCCCAGGCCGACGAACATGCCCGTGAGGAGGGGGATGTCCGAATCGCGCTTAATGTAGGTGGGGCGCTTGACCGTGTTGAAGAGCTTCTGGTCGGCAGCGACGTGGCTCTCCTTGTTCACAAGGCCGGAGTAGGCGCGGGTCTGGCGGGCAATGCGGGCAGTCTGGCGGGCGAGCATCTTGTCGGTGGTAGGAGTCAGGGAGGGAACGAACTTCGCACCTGGAGCTTCTTTTCTTCACTGAAGGCGCCAAGGCAAGGTGACAAAGACATGGAGTCGTCTGCTCAACCGCACATTTTTAAACTCCGGCTAAGAACCTCGATATACGAACACTTGAAGAAGATCAAAAGCAAAGATAAAGCTTTGACTAATTTGGCAAAGGTCAGTAACACGGGTGTGTCTGTGTCAGCTTAAATTCGGGATTATTATCGAAATAATGTGAAATTGGTACATACCGGTAGTAAGTACGGCAGATGTGGCAGCAGACAGGTAACGAAGAAAAAAAAACAATTCAATATTTTTTCTCTCATTTCCTATATTATTCCCTTAAAAACGCATGCACTACGTGAGCCACATCAGCTGCAGCACCCATTTCGCATGCTGTAGACGAAGGTTCGTATCGTAGCACCATCTCAGCGGTACAGTGGACTTGGCATACTTCCCATCTGTAGTCCACAGTTACTCGCCGTTGGTGCTGCCAGCCGCTTTTGGTAAATTTCGGCTACTTTCTTATTGCCGCTACTCCCTGTAGACAGCGTTCGGCATCCAGGATGACAGGATACTAACAAGACCGTCACCTACAGTAACGGTGATCGCTATGGAATGCCAGTTGACGAGCCAAGGGTTGTCAATACCCTGTAACACCATACGTGATGACAACCTTCGTGTCCAAAAAATGCAGCTGAAGACAGCCAGTACCATGTAGTCTAGCTGCAGGTAGTAGGACCTCACTGTGCTATTTACTCAGCAATACAAGAGCGGCTAACTTCCAGGAAGCGGCGCCAGCTCTCTTCTCCGAGTCTTCGTTTCTTGACGAACACCACAGCCAATCGTGACATGGATGAGGATTTCTTTTCGTCGCTGGAAGAGGCCAATTACCTGTGCCACGAGTCTCCCGCCAAGAGCTCGTGCTTCAGCTTGAAGCTGTCGGAGTCAACGATTCTGCACAAACATTGGGAAAAGCGTCGTGCTGTGCGAACCAAAGTCGTCGTCACTTTGAGCTTGTTGCTGTTGGCGGGCGTGGGGACTGCAGCTCTGTCTACTTCGGTAGATGCAACTGCGTTTACGATGAAGATGCGTGGCGCGCACCCAATATTTCGTGGCAAGGCGAGTGAGGTCTACGCTGGTGACGATACCCCAGAGTTCGAAGACGCCATCCTTGCTGCAGACGAAACGGACAGTCAGCTCGAAACGGACTACGCACTGGATGAAGACGAACTCGACCCGTACGAAGAGTTCCACCGCATTGGAAGACAGCTAGAAGCCAATTAGAGTACAAGAGATGACGTAATGCAAGCCAGTTTTTATATCAAGTAAAACGTGTGAAGTCTTTCTGACTTTTTACAAACGTACTTCGTCTACAGAAGCAGTGTAGAGTGACACTTCTTGATAATCTCTGGGGATCTCAAACATCGTCGAGTTCAGCTGCGGGTTCAACGTGATCTTCTGAAACGTGTACGCGACTCGGACCGTGAACATCATCGGTAGCTCAAACTTGACAGGAAACCCAGGTGGGAGTGTCTGTAGCCACAAAGGCAAGTACACAAATACAGTCAGTCGCCGTACCTTGCACAGTCGACATCCACACTACGTACCATCTGGAAAAACTCGTCGAGGTTCTTCACGTGTTCTCCCGTAGTGGAAATGCTTGATAACTGGCAGGAAATCTCGGAGTTGGAACGGAAATTTCTCCGTCATGACAACTTTGGCTTCAAAGTCTTTGTGCATTCGACGCGCAGTGGGTACAAGTGTCAGACTCCGGTATGTGTTCTTCATACTGTAAGCCGTCTCAGCTGTACCGTTTCTCGAAGACGATGCAGTCGACGTCTGTTGTTTCTTGTCCTCAAACACCTTGAAAAATGACTTCTTCTTCGACGAGGCGGCTCACTCGCAAGCCCATTGAGCTCCACGAACGCGGTAGTAGTCGTGAGTGGGTTCGGGATGTGGTTTGATTGGCGGAAAACTTCGCATTTCTGTTCGTCAGAGAATAAATATGCGCATTTGTAATGGATTACTGTAGTATTTGGGACACTGGTATTAATACTTAGGGTAAAAAAGTGAAAGGTGTGGGTACATTCCGCTGTACCGGTACAGTCGTGCACCTCCAATTCGGCACCGGTATCAGTCGATACCCTGCCAGATTTTATGATTACGCGAATCGGATGCGCAATTACCTTTGCCCATCACCACCCTAGCAATTAACCTCAACGGTTTTCCCCTCCTCGCGGAGGGACGACACGCCGCATCGATCTGATTTTAACTTTTGGATGGGACGTCCTCATACAAACACACAATTTGATTTTTTCCGCCAAAGACAACGGGACATCGTCCTTCCTCCTACATGTCTCTAACTCTAGCGCAAAAGCAGTCTTTGTGCGAGAAGCACAAGTCAGATCCTGCATGCTCTCACTCCGAACATGCTCGTTGTGTAACGGGCCTGGGGTGTCCGTTACTTGCTTACACGTAGTGATGAGGAAGCGTACAAGTCCAGTGATACTGAAACCAAGTACTTAGTCTGAAGGAAAATCAACTCTGTTTTTATTTAGGTCCAGGGCGGCTTGCCCTGACCACTCAAATACTCGTCAACTCCTTATTGGTTGATTATGGGTCTGGCTCCCCATATTTCAACCAATAAGGTGACGGAAGCTCAGCACACGCTACTCGTGTGCTGCTGCACCTACTTTTGTAATGCAAATCTACCTACTTATGTAATGGTGTGAACCACTACAAAGAACCTATAAAACTACCTACATATGTAACTTGGGAAAGCCCATTACATCACCCCCCTCTTAAGACAGCAATCACCTAATGTGGGTGCACTTCGGAGAACAATCGGGAAAAACTGGGAAATGGCGGAGAAGAGAACGCTTGAGAATTTGACGGGCAGGAGCTCCTGCGAAGCCCAGGAGCAGCACAATACAACTTGCGCGGACGAGAACAACATGGCGCAGCAGACGGGGGCGGCGAACCAGGCAGGAAGCGGAACAACGCGGACGGCTCCAGCTTCGGTGACGACGCTGAACAGTGGGTGGACTGCTGATATCGCACCTGAGAGCGTGACTCGACTTGGGGTTCGGCCCGGCGTAATGAACGAGGATATGAAGCCGTGGGCGCTGTACGACTTGTCCGGGGCGGTGACCCCGGACGCGCTGGACACCATGCAGGACCACTTTCGGCGCTTCAGGCGTCTCCGGAACAAAACACTCGACGGCGCGACGTACGAAGCTTTGCAGAGATCATGGTGCGCAGTCATCCGGCGGTGGAATCGGATGCAAGAGGCTGGAGAAAGTGTCGTCGGCTGGCTCGGTGATCGCGAAGCCCTACAAGCCGAGCATTCACTCGGTGATCTGCGCCTGAAAGTCTGCGACGACGCTTGGACCGAAGACCGTTTGTGCTATGTCAACGTACGCGAAGGTTGCAGTTCGTGTGACATCGGGCGACGCCCGACGCAAGCTGAGTGGGATCAGCATATTGTCGAGTATCCGCTCATGCCGACCGAACACGCTTGGATCGAGAAGTATAAGCGCTCACGCTCCGAGTTCACCCAAGCGGCTATTCGCGGCGGCTCGCGCCGACAGCGTTCGCGACGGAGCCCGTCTCCGGCGCATTCGACGTCTCGTCGGGCGCGTAGTCGATCGCGTTCTCGATCGCCGCGAGGTCGCTCGCGGCCGCGTTTGACTCAAGGCTGGAGTCGTAGTCGTGGACAACATCAGGAACGTCACGAAGCAAGCTGGCGCGAGGCTCCCACGTATCATCAGCAGGTTGAAACCCGAGCCATCGTACCTTATACTTCCGCGCGGCGGGAGCCGCGTGTTGAGCCGACGACTTGGTCGAGTGACGCACGCGGGGAGGATCTTCGTGATCAACAATACGGTCCACAATCCAGCAAGTATCTCCATTCGAGTCAACGATGGGCGGAGGACCGTCGCGGTGGAATTCGACGCGACCTGGTTGACCAGGACGACGTTGAGCAGGCGCTGAACACTTCTCGGGGCGCACAGGAGGAGGCCGAGCGGGCGGCTGAGAGATCTCGGAACGCCGAGGCGACGGCGAGTAGTCTGCGGCAGTCGAATCGTGAACCCTTGCTGCGACTGCGTAGTCTGGAGGCGCAGGTGGTTGGCGGACCGAGGGGTGGAGCTCTTCCGCGCGAGCGGGGAACTGGGACAGATGGGACGCTGGCTCGACAGGCTCATCGCATGGGCCGCTCAACGCATGCTCCTGCTCCGCCTCCGGGATCATCGCGGGAAGATACTTATTAAGTCGTCCGACGTAGAACGTCGGGTGTAGTCGTAGCGACGTAGGAATGTCTAGTGTGTAGGCATCACCCATAACTCGTAGTACTTTGAATGGCCCAATGTAGCGCGGCGCGAGTTTGCTCGCGCCTAGGTTCGTAATAGCAGAGGTACGAATTCCATCCGTTGAGCGTAATACACGCTCACCAATCTTGAATGCACTTGTGTTCTTGCGGCCACGTTTGTCGGCGTTTTCCTTCTGCTTGTCAACCGCGAGTTGTAGCGCGTCACGGACGAATCGGGTAACCGATTGGCGATGAAGGACAAAGTCGGATACCGCTGCCTTGTCGGCGGGTCGCGCTGGAGGTTTTGGCGCGTAGTTAGCCACAGTCGAGTGTGGCTGTGCTGAAGCGATCAGCGCTCGGTGTGTCCAGTCAACTAACGGCGACGACGTGGATTGCGCGGGAGCGAGGATCTTCTTCGACTGTACACGCGTCACCGCGTTGATGTCTACTGCAGGAGTAGCTGAACTCGTAGACGGCAGAACCGTTGTCTCACCGGAAACCGGTGGTTGAACCAGTATCGGAACCGGTTGGGCAGGGTTATCACATTCCTCCCCCTCCAGAGTGAAGCCATCAGTCGCCGTGCGTTGGCCCACAGCAAGTTGTGCGGGGACACGTGGATGACGCGCGTTGTTTCCGAACAACGGAGTCAATCCCGTCGACGCGTGTTCGGCATTGTTGAGTGCAAACTCCGCAAGAGGCAGGAAGGAAGACCAGTTCTCGAAGGACGGGGCGTAGCTGCGCAGAACATCTTCTAGCACGCGATTGACGCGTTCCGTTTGCCCGTCAGTCTCCGGGTGTGCTGCCGTCGACATGAGGAGTTTGGTGCCCAGGAGGTCGAAGCGTTTCGTCCAGAACGCCGATGTGAATCGTGGATCGCGGTCAGAGACGATTGATTCAGGAAGGCCGTGATGTCGGAAGACAGCGTCGACAAAGTGCACCGCGGTATCGGCCGCGGTGATTGAGTCCGGAACCGGAACGAGATGACACATCTTGCTAAAGCGATCCACGAAGACCAGAACACCAGTACGACCGTCAGTATCGGGTGGGAGACCGAATATGAAGTCCATTGACACAGAGCGCCATGCCTCTGTCGCCAGAGGGAGAGAACGCAGCGGGGCTTGCGATGACGGTGACGGTTTAACGCGTTGACAAGTTTCGCAGGAGCGGACCCACTTGCGCACCCACTTGTATAGATGAGGCCAGTAGAAGTCGCGGGATACCGCCGCGAAAGTCTTCTCACGGCCCAAGTGGCCACCCACTGGAGCGTCATGTAATTCGTGTATAATTCTTGCGCGTAGATCGGGGTCGTTGGGGACAACGACGCGAGAATCATCGAATCGATCGATACTGTACATCAGCAGATCACCGTCAAGTTGGTATCTGTGAATCTGGTCGCGTGTGGAGCGCTCAGTGTCTTTAGCGTGGCATCACTTGGTGTGCGAAGGTGTTCCAGGATACCGGCATATATCGAGTCATCTCGATACGCGGCAGAGATCGCTTCCCGCAGGGGAAGTATTGGAGATACCGCCGTCATCAGGTTCCCACCGGCAGCCACACATGTGGCGCAGTCCAATTCGTCGTCGTCCTCGTCTTCAGGTGACTGACGACCCAAATCTCGGCGTGGATCGTAACCGGGGCGCCGAGATAGGGCATCCGCAAGGATGTTATTCTTGCCTGGCTTGTAGTGAACGACGAAGTTGTACTCGGAGAAGAATGACAGCCATCGTGCCATGCGCTGAGAGAGATGAGGGCTCTTCGTCGCTGTTCGCAGCGACGCGTGATCTGTGTAGATCGCGAATGTCTGCTCACCGAGTAAGTACACTCTGAATTTGATCAGTGCGTAGCGCATCGCAAGGGTTTCCTTGTCGTGGACCGGATAATTCTTCTCAGCGGGCTTCATCTGTCTGGATTGGTAACGCACGACGCGTTCTCGACCTTCGTCGTCGAACTGCATCAGTGCACAGCCGATGGCGAAGTCGCTCGCGTCGCAAACAACGTGGAATGGCTTTGAGGCATCTGGAAGCGCCAGGATTGGGGCATCCGCCAAGCTTTTCTTCACTGCATTAAAGACTGACTGATGTTCGGGAGTCCACGACCACGTGATGTCTTTCTTCAGCAATGAAGACAATGGCTGGATCAGACCAGCATAATTTTTCGTGTACTTGTGGAGATAATTTGCGAGGCCAAGCCACTGACGCAATTCAGTCTGATTCTGCGGCGTGGACCACGCACAGATGGACGAGACCTTCTCAGGATCCGCTCGGACACCATTTTTGCTCACATAACAGCCAAGCACCGGAATCTCCGGGGGGGGGTAACAGAAGATGCACTTCTTCAAGTTCGCGTACAGTTTGTTTTCGCGCATGACTTGGAACACTTGTCGTAAGTGATTTAAGTGAACTTCTGTGGCGCTGAGATCGCCCTCAGCGCGGCTGTGAACGAAGATGTCATCGAAGTAGCTCGGAGCGAAGTCGCGAAGTGGGCGCAGAACGTGGGAAACTATGCGAATGAACGTGGCTGGTGCGTTTTTCACGCCCTGCGGCATGACAAGCCACTCCCACAGCATCCCGCTGGGAGTGCTCACAGCTGTGAGCGGGATGTCGCTGAGTCGCATCAAGATCTGATAGAAGCCATCGGTCAGGTCGATGGCGCTGAAAATAACATTGCGGCCCATGGTGTCAAGTACCATATCCTTCCGAGAGATCGGAGTTTGTGCTGGGATGATGGCGTCGTTTAGCTTGTTAAAAGCGTGAGCAATGCGCCAATTACCCGTGGCCTTCTTCACGCAGAACGTCGGACTTGAGTGTGGCGAGGTACTCTCGCGCACGTGACTCGCTTTGCGGTGGCTTTAGAAGAAGTCGTCAATGGCTTTAACTTGATCGCGTGGGAGGGGTCACT